GCACCACCAGTCTCTCTCCTCCTGGTGCTTCTTCTCTAGGATTCTTCTTCAGGTTTCAGGATTCAAAACCACCCCCCTCCCTTACTCTTTATTATTAAAATCCGAGGCTAGAAACCCCAGCCAACTCCCTTACTTCACACTCTCGCTTGCCTCCGTCTCAGATATCCTCCCACGGAGGAAGCAATAAAACTTCACTCTACCTAGCCTCTATTTAAAATACCCTTGATAGAAAAATAAAATAAGCTTCCAGACCTTCTCTTCTCAACTCCAACCAACCCGGCCTTCTCCTTTTCTTCCCTTTTCTATCCTTCCTCCTTCCACTCACGACAGCCACACCCAAGCCAACTGCAGCTGTCCCAATCTTCCCCTTCCCAGTCAAGCTCCTGCAAGCACTCTCAGGAAGTCCCCGCTACAGTATCAATCCTGATAAGAGAAATGTGGCTATTTCTGCTCTGGGAAGTCATAACAAGGGCTCAAGTATGATACAAACACGATACTATTTTGAGGATAGTACTCTGGCAACATTTTTAATGAGCTGGAGAGATAAAACAGAATTTCATCAAATCTGAAGGAGATAGGAAATTGGATAGGCAAGTTAATAGTGTAAATTTTCCCTCTCAATACCCATCAGCTTAAAAGTCACCCTAGGCCTAGGCTGCACTCTCAAAGAGGGCAGAGCAAGGAGCCAAAGGGTATTCAGGAATGTTATGGGATGAAACTGGAGTCTTAAGAATCTGAAAACTTAAGGACCTCTTTGGGCTATTTTTTTTTAAATCCTCCCCCAAGTGCACAAATGAGGCTTTTAGCCTCAAACACTGAGGGGTCTGAGAACAACAAAAGGGATAAATCACGTGCAGCCCCCAAATAGCACTTTTGCACCTCTGTTCTAAGAGACTGGAATGGCATTGAGAATAATCTTGATAGGTTAGTGAAAATAGTAGACAAATGCAAAGGTCTTCATAGAAGAAAAAGACAACAATAAAACAAGTGGAAATTATTCCAGTCTAGTAATGGATCACAAGTTGAAATACTGTAAAAGTTAGCTGTGCCGTGTGTTTACTAAATAGATGGATGCAATTTCAGGATAATTCAATAGAAGTAAACTTTCTAAATGATTGGAAGGAATAATTCCATTATATTTGGCATTGGTGATATCCCACCTTATGTACTGTACTTAATTCTGCACATTTTAAGAAAGATTCAAGTGAATTAAGTGGAAAAAATGCAACAAGGGATTGCAGATTAAGATTTATGAATATAATTTGAGAATTGGATTTATGTAGCCTTGAGAATTATTATCTCAGAAAAATAATATGAAAACATTGCTTCAGTACCTGAGGAGCAAAGAAGATTGAGATTTATTTTGTAGGAAGTATTGAGCAATAAGGATGCAAAAAACACCCCCTTCAGAAAAATGAAGATAAACAAGGAAAGGGAAAATGATGCAGGAATGCAGAGCAAGTCGAGCATCTGGGAACATAAATGGAGAAACTAGATGGTAGATAAAGAAATAGAGCCAAACAAAGGAAAGGCTAACATTTGGAGGTCATAGCAATGGAAAAGCAAAGAGCGAAAGAGAAGCAACAGAAAGAAATACAGTGGAGAGCAGGATGCATTGTGGGCTGCACCTGACCATCTATTGGATCATATTCAACTTGGAAGGCAAACTTTTAATATTGCAGGTGAACAGTTTTTTCAACCTGAGAGCCATATCTTATGCCAGACAGCTACTATTCCCAGTACCCTCTCCACAACTTGATGGGCTGGATAGCAGAGTTCCATGCTTGTCATTATCAGTGATCTTCTGGTTCATTAGAGAAAATTACCTCACTACTGACTCACTCACTACATCTGGCATCTAATCTTTCTCTGAAGCAGCAGTGTATCATATGGACCACTTCTGACTTATTAAATTTGCAGACATTTTAAGTTCTCCTAAAATCTTTCCTAAATGTGTTCTGCAGACTAAGATAGGCATTTTTATGTAGCTCATGGGGTCTGCATGGATAAGTAGGCTTTTATGATACCAAGAATCATGAGTGTAACTTGCAAGGCTCTAAGGAAAGAAAGATAGTGGGACTAAAAGAAACTACTGTTTTCTCACTTTGCAGCAGCAAGATTGGGATTGGGTTGTAGTACTTTGCTTTCAGTAGAATACATTGCTACAACACAAAAAGTCAAATACTGTAATAAAAATCAAGTTGATAATTATTAAAACAACACCACAGCATCCTATGGTATAGATTAGAGGATTTGGTTTTTATTTTATAAAATACCAATAATATGAAAAAATAATGAACAATTCTCAACTCACAATTCTATTGCCTTGTTCCACATGATAACATATCCAGAAAGTATGAAGGATTCAATATTTACAATATGTGTATTTCCCTTCTCTGTTCCCACATAGAGCCATTTGCTTTGGAAAGGTAGATGACAGAAGGTAATCCTATGTCAGAGGAAAAGACAATCACATTATATCAACCAATCAGTTTTTATTACAGTCACCGACCAACAGTACAAATAAAAGCATTAAAAATAACAACAACAACAATAATAATAATGAGAAATAAACATACAAAATAGACAAAATTATATATTACGATTAATGGTGGATTATTAGTGGGCAGAGTCCACCTAATTTTGCATACAAAATAACAAAATTCAGAAAAACTACTTCATACTGATCTGCTAACAGTAGTTGCCCTATGAAAAAGATCAGTATTTCCTGGATATTTTATTAGATGAGGTGTTACAAACTGAGTCCCTGAGCCCTCAGAGAAGACGCAGTATAGCAAGATGTGGACTGTAGTTTCAATGGTTCCTTGTCCACAGGGGCACAATCTCAGTTCATATGGTATTCTTTTTGTATTGGCCCTCCCAAACGGCTGTGGGAAGTGTGTTGCAGCATGCTAAAGTTAATGCCCTTCGGATTTTGGGGACAGTTATTCAATATAGATATCTCACTGCTTTAAAAGGGGGAGTTTGATTGCTCAAATAAACATTTATGGGAAAAGCAGCCCAATCTTGTTGGTTTTCCAGATCTTTAATATGTTATTTGAGTGCACTAAGTGCACACTCATACCCCATCATCAAAAGCACTTCCCTGGAGAAACCAAAATACTGGAGTTTTTGTGAGATGGTCCTGAACCATACTGATTCAAAATTGACTTCTATAAGAAGAGAACTCAAACCTGTAGGGGAAAAGAGAAGTTTTAACCAATGTGCAAAAATGTAAATCTGTGCACCTTTCGATTTTGGCTAGTCTTGCCTCCCACCTTCGTACTACATTTGGGACACTACCTGAAATATGGCTCTCATTAGGAATTTGGATTGCGCCTTTTCCAGAGGAGTAAAAGAGGTCACAGCTGAGCACCACAATCACATTACACAAATGTAGTAAAAACACACATCACATTTCTCATCTCAGATCATATAAAATAGTAGTTGTTAAACTAGTGTGGGAAAAACAGATCATACTTTTGAATTAAAGTCTATTTCTAAGGAGTGAACAAATATCAGCCTAAATTATTAGTTAAGGTTTGGAATCTTCACTGTCAGCAAACTATCCATGATCATTCATGCATCAGTCTGTTTTCACTAAAAGACTCCANCAAGAGACAGGGGAAGAGGATGAGTGCTTTTTGAACACCCTGTCAGCCCAAATATGGGAGAGAGAGAAGTCTTTTGCCTGCATCAGCTCAATCCAGAGCCATCCACAGGCAGCAGTCGCTTAACTGCGACATCATATGTGTTTTTCAAAATTTGGATTGCTAACAAAGAATTAAGGGAGTACTGGGATAGCTATTTCTACAATCTACCACTGCTCTCCTGGATCTTCAAGAGAAAATGTAACATTTCAGAAAACTGGAAGATACCACTTGATCCTGCTGTGAGATTGTCATACATTTGTTTAATTTCCTCATCCCATTAATCTAATCAGGGCTGGCCCATTCCAGGCCCACATTTGTGATGAATTGTATCCTTATGGTATTCTTCAGCTTCACACTAATACAGTGGAAGAAAAGCCTATCCAGTCCAAGATAATGCTAGCAAGGAATTTAGTCCAAGCTATAGGCTACTCCAGCCTTCTATTAGATAATCCCCCTGTAGTCTCCAAACTTTCTTGGCTCTTGGCTCTTGGCTCTTGGCTCTTGCCAATGGCTTTCTTTTCTGTGCATACAGGTGTTAGGTTAAATTACATTAGATTAAATTTATATATCTAAAGAGAAAGCAGCAAAATGCACAATAACCAGCTCTAAAGTGACAGGTGAAGCAGCTTCTTGGATGAGATGTGAAATGTCTTCAAGAAAAAAACCAAGTTCAGTTGCCTTTGAAAAAAAGCATTTTTGGGACAATCATGAAATTGCTTTAAAATGAAATTTCATTTCTTGCATTTTTTTTCTGAGCTTTTCCTCAAGAATGTCTCACAGTCTGTCAAAATCTTTTGTAGAGGTAGAGTGGGTATAACATTTGCTTGACATACAGCATAGGTCATTTGAAATCTAGAAAAAAATCTATTTTTCTTTCTTTCCTTGAGTTATCTATCTTTTGCAGGATTTCTCTTCCTTTTTATATGTCTACTGATGCACTGTTTTAGTATTTTCCTAGTCATTTAAAATAGATGAGTTTCATGCCCATCACTCAATCTTAATTCTAACTTTAATGGATATAGTTGTATGGTTCTTTTCCCCCAAACTCAGATTTTAAAAAAAAACTAGAATGATGATGGATGCTGAGTTAAAACTGTTACTTCCCAGTCATAGATAAATTTAACAAAAAAATTAGATTTTAGAATTATTTTAAAGTAGCCCTAACAGGTATGAAAAGATGGGCTCCAGCACGACTCTGAAAGCTCAGGAGATGAAATCCCTGGTCCCGGTGACTGACCCAGATTGGATCCTGCAAGGAAAATAACCTCCATTTTGGGAAAGGAGCCTTAGTTGCTGGTTTCTGGGTCCAATTCAAGGTTCTGATGGCTTGGGACCTTGTTAGCTTTGGAATGATTTGATTCAAATGGAATCTGCCATCTACAGATCATATAGATCTGTAAAAATGTGGCATCATCTCCTGGTCTCTCTGTGTGTTTATGTGCACACGCATACACCTACTTATTTACTACTTATTATGTATTTTATGCTTTGTTCAATTCATATAGATGCCCATCTCACATCTGTGACTCTAACTAGTTCACAACAATTAAAAACAACATCAAGAATGGTAAACAAATTCAACTAAAAACAACAAACATATAAAACCATACTAAAGCCATTACTAAAAACTATATTTAAAAATAAAAAACACAGTCACCAGTTTCTCTCCTGAGTTTATGTAAAAATTCTGAAGGCAAAGTTACACTCCCCTCTCCTGTAGACATTGCCCTACTGCTTATCACATAATCAAGATAGGCAGGCTTGCCCAACAAAAATTAAATTATTAAATAAATAATTAGATTAGTATTTATGAACTAAGTTTTAAAATGTTGCTTTATATGCCACTGAATTTGAGCTAGGATGAAAACTATTATTTGTGGGCTGCATCTTCTGTCAAATCACAACTACATTAACATTCAAAGCTACAATAACCTTTCAGCAAGATTAAAATTAATTCTACAATATAGACCAGAAATTGGATTCAGAATAAATTAGGATGTCCTTCTGCAGGCTACACTTCTCAACGTTATTTCTGTAATGCTATTAATCATACTTAAATCCATCAAGGATGGCTTTGGACAAAGAATGTGAAAAGTGGAATCTCGCACATGCCATGCAAAATGCTTGGGCAGAACAATGCCTATACTATTTGAAGAATCTTTAAATAAAAAATTGTGAATTAGAGCAGAGACGAGGGTCCTTAGACTCATTGGCATCTTTATTCCCTGGTTCATCTGGGACTGGTCCATGCGCTGCTTAAGCTTACTTGCATAAATATAATAAGGTTTCAGTATCCAAAAACACAAGAGTCAAATCAGATAAGTGTCAACGCTGCTAACATCGGATTTCTTGCTTTGACAACATATGGAGATGCATCCATTGTCCTTTACTTTAAGTTTTACTGTTAGAATTAGAATTAGATGATACTGGGGGGGGGAGGAATGTGCATGGGAGTTTAGTTAGACATAACGATACTGTATAATGGTGAGAACCAAGGCTGTTTGTAATAAGAGATGATAAGACATGGCGGATGAAGAACTGGGTGGAAAGCCAGCATTTCAAACTAATTGGAGAATGTGATTTATGACTGTTAGTAAGAGGAGGGAATTGTGCTTTGATACTACAGTATGTGCTGAGAGGAGGGGAAGCCAGATTTTGGCTTGGACTATGTAAGTGCCGATGTGTTGCTACTCGAATAAATATTCTTTAAGGTAAACAATGCCTCGAAGTTCTTTGAAGAGTTTCATATGTCGTAACCATAACAATAAGTAGACCCAAAAACTTTTGGAGTCTTACCTTTCTCGGTTAAATTTCAGGGAATGAAGAATCGCTGGCCGTTTCTGCCTTAGATTCCACAAATGGAGCATGTCATCTGAACTTGCACTAATTAAAGCACCCTAACAAGAAAAGAACATACTTTGTTTTATTATACTGTAATTATGCAGACTTTCCTGGGAAAATGGCAATTTTAAAAAGGTAGTTTGGATCTGTTGTTGCTGTTCTACATCTGCATCTTGCTAGGCAAACTGACCTGATTCAGGAGAAAGTGTCTCCTAGTTTCTTTACAGCAGCAGCAGCACTGTCAGTTTCTCATTACCCTTATTCTCAGAAGACAACATGAAATAAAATAAAACTGCTCAACTTTTTTTTTTAAAAAGAAAAAAGGAATATGTTCTAGTGTTTCCATCATTCAGTTCTGTGTACAGGTAGTCCTCGACTTACATGCTTAATGACTATTCAAAATTACAATGGCACTCAAAAAAGTAACTTATGACCATTTTTCACACTTACAATCATTGCAGAATCCCCATGGTCATTTATTTATTTATTTATATAATTTATTTTATAAATTAGGGTAACTATGGGTGGCTTACAGTTACATCAGAACTAAAACATAAACAGTTAAAACCAAAAACACCTGGGGGAGGATGGTGGCGGAGTGGGGGGGAGATAGGATCTGTTATTACTCAATCAACCATCTCCATTGCGCTGATCCCCCACTGGGGCTCTAAGCTGACTGGCTCAGCCACGTCTTTAGGCCCTTATGAAAAGATAGGAGGGTTGGGGGCAACCTCACATGGGGAGCAAGATGTTCCAGAAGGCAGGAGCAACAGCAGAGAAGGCTCTTCTCCTGGTCCCCACCAGCTGGAATACTCAGGCTTGACCTGCAGCCTGCCTCCTCTGATGGCCAGAGTGGTACGGGCCAATCCCAGTGGGGTGAGAGGGTCCCTCAAGTAACCTGGACCTATGTCATGAAGAGCTTTAAAGTTGATCACCAACACCTTAAATTGCACCCGGAAGCAGACTGGCAACCAATGCAGTGGTATTAAAGGGGCTATTCTTTGGACCCCCCCCAAACTACCCACAGTGCTGCACTCTGCACCAGCTGTAGCTTCCAAATGCTGTTCAAGGGTAGCCCCATGTAGAGTGCATTACAATAGTCCAGTCGTGAGATGATTAGGGACTGAACAATTGAGCACAGGGGATCCTGGTCCAGGAAAGGCCGCAACTGGTGCACAACACAAACTTGGGCAAAGGCTCTCCTAGCCACGACTGCCACCTGTTCCTCAAACAGGAGTCAGGAGTCCAGGAGAACCCCCAAGTTGCAGACTGGGGGTCTTTCTGGGGCAATGCCACCCCATCCAAGTCAAAGATGACAAAATCCCAGATCCCGGATCCTCGCAAACTCAAAGCCATTTGGTCTTACCAGGGTTCAGTTGAAGCCTGCTGCCCCCCATCCAGGTCCCCATAGCCTCCAAGCACCACAAAAGGGCAGCCATAGTATCACTTGGGTCACCAAAAATGAACTATAGAGTTGGGTGTCATCAGCATACAGTAGATATGTCAACCCATGGTGACAGATGATCTCACCCAGCAGTTTCATATACTTGTTGAAAAGGAATGGAAAAAGTTCCCAGCTTTGCAGTACACACAGAATAGTGGCTGAGGGCTGGACCCTAACCCTGCCACAGAGAAAGGAGCCCAACCAGCACAGAACTGTGCCACTCATCCCCATCCCCTGCAGCTGGCCCTAAAAGATACCATAGTCGATGGTAACCAAAGCTAGGTACTGGCTGTAATATTGTAAAAAATGTACATGTTATTGTAGACCATGTAGAATAAATATATACCCAGCATCCATTTAGAACAGACTTGGACAGACATGGGTCACATCTGGCTCTTTGGCTATCCCTGTCTGACCCACGTGAGGTTAATCAGAAATCAGAAATCAAATGTAAAATAAGAGTGCTGCATGAGGCAGGGGAAGAAGCCAAGTTAGGTCTGACTCTGTGGAGTCACGGTGCACTCCTTCATGCAGCTGGTGGCCGCAGGGAGCACTTTTCTGAGCTTGTGCAGCACTCCCCCACCACCTATAGCAACCTGAGGAGTTGAGGTGACAGACTTTGAGGACATCAAATCAGATTACATTGGTTCGGCCCTCTAAAACAGTCCCAGTTTCTTATGTGGCCCCTTGGGAAAATTAATTGCCGAATTAAATTTAGAAGTTTAAAAACTATTCGTGACTATATACTCTCATGCCAGTCGAGCCATTGATCAATGTCTTAATTTGCTTTCAAATTCAGGCAATGCTGCTGTCCATTTGCAAGGGCAAATTATCTTTGAAACATAGAGAAAAACACCCTTTTTCTGACCCAGTCCCTAGGCGTCAGGCTTTGCTCACAATGACTGCTCATAGAAAACTCTGAGTAACTGTTAAAAAATACCAACCCTCATTAACAATTGACCTGGTGGAGGCTGTTCCAGTGCTGGAATCTTTGAAGCCTACCCAATGGACTAGAAACTACCCTCAGTTTGTTACATTACTACACCTATAGTGTAGTTTCAGGGTTTCCTCACAAATTCTTGGTAGATTCCTTTGGGCTTGGTATTCTCTTTTCCTCCTACTAACCCTAACCCTAACCCTATGATTCTACGATTTACAGATACTCCTTGACCTAAGTCCACAATTGAGCCCAAAATTTATGTTGCTAAGCGAGACATTTGTTAAGTGATTTTTGCCCCATTTTACAATTTTCTTGCCACATTTGTTAAGTGAATCATCATAGTTGTTAAAATAGTAAGGTGGTTGTTAAGTGAATCTGGCTTCCCCAGGACACTACCACCATCATAAATAGGAGTCAGTTGCCAAGTGTCTGAATTTTGATCATGTGACATGGGGATGTTGAAATGGTCGTGTGAAAAACATTCATAAGTCAATTTTTTCAGTACCGTTGTAACTTCAGTCACTAAACCAAGTGTTGTAAGTCGAGAACCACTTGTATTACTTTTTAAGTAAGGTGGCAAACATACCTCATACTCCTTCCTCCTCTTTGTATTTTCCCCACAACAACAAGCCTGTGAGGTGGAAGGTCTGAGAAAGAGTGATTGGCTCAACGTCATCCAGTCAACTTTCATGCTTAAACTGTCAATTTGAAACCTGCAGATCAACCAACCAGATGCTCATCAAAGAATCACTATATTCATTCATTTTGGGGTCTCCAAATGGCCCATTTTATCTGTATTCTCTTATTTAATTTTCACCATCGATTCATCTTATGAGAGTATTTCCTCTAGATCACATTTTTTCTACAATTTTCTCCAAAACCAATATGTATTTTTTAAATTATTATAGTTCCTTGGAGTATAGCATGTAACTGTTAACAGCCTAAACATTTCTCTTTCATACAAAACCATAATAATCCAGATGATATTGATTCATACTTTCAGATATAAGTTTTAGTCCCTTAATTCATTATAACTATCCTTCACTTTTTGCATATTCAACTCTACTTAACATGGCTCCGGAACTGCCCATTGCCCAGAGCCTTTCTCTGAGAGAGATCGGCAGTTAAGAAGCATGAAATATAAATAAATAACGTCAAATCACCTTCTTCCTCTGTCACAAGTAGACATCATATTATTTATTTCCCCATTTTCTGTTAATTAATAATTAATTAATTAATATTAATAATTATTACTTTTTAAATTTTCTCCTCTTATATTCCAAGTTACATTTTTTGTAAGCCATGATGGTACAGATAGGCTCATATACACTATTCTTTGCTGCCCACCACAGTTTTGATCAATCAAAGCTTTGAAGAATGATTTTAGTAAGACTGAGAAGGAATAAACTAGTACATGATCCCTCATCATGTACATGCAGCATTCCCTGCTTTAAAAAAACCAAGGATAATACAGATCAGTTGTATCACATTTTAAGCAGAATGCCACAAGCTCATCTGAAGCCCAGTATTTCTCCAAGCATACTCTCACTATTCTGGCATCTCTAATTTAGACTCCAGATTGAAAGCCAAAATACTATTACCTGTATCCCACCATCTAGGAGGCATATATGGTGTACTGATACACATTTAGGATATACGTATTGCACATTTATTTTGAATTTAAATATTTATTATATTTATAATTCAATTTATTTATTTATTATTTATGGTATTTATTTGCTGTCCATCTTGTATCCAGTGACTCTCCGTGTCTTACAGCAAAAAAATAAATTACAATGGAATTGTAGAATGTACATGGAAATGAAAGATCTGTAGTATACTTGCCCAAATTTTTATCCTAAATTTTGATAGCATTAGCTATTAATTTATAAAACTGTTAAAATCCAAAGAAACAGACTTGTGTGAATAATAGGCTATCTAGACCAAGATTTCATTTTCATTAACGTCTTTCTTCCTTCAAAACCTTATTTTCTGAGACATAATGACTAAAACAGTCCAATGTCACTGTAGTGCAATTCTTATTAATGAAGTCTTACCTCATTAATTAAAAATTGAAGCTGCAGAACAGCAGCATCACTTTCATGATGACAATAGCAATCAACACCTGGCCTTCCCAATCTGTTAAGTACCATAGTCAAGGATCAGATTGCTTAGGTTGATTGATGAAATAAGAGAAATACAGAATCAAAGCAGAATTAACCTTTGTTTTTACTAATCTGAGAGGAAAATTAAAAGCTGTCTGTGAAAAGGTTTAGAGACTTCTAGAGTTTATTTTCATCCTAGATTATGAGTTCAAAGGATTCATACAGAGCAATTTATTCAACCTACCCCAATATTAGTAATAATATTCAAATATCCTACAGCATTCTTGATTCTTATTAGGCTGACTTTTCTGGGATACATTACTGCCCAGTATTGGTATTCTTAATGTTTTGTGTATCTCAGATGTTGACAACTAATTCAGAAGTTAGCCAAAAGGACTGGAACCCAAACTGATGTCCAATTTCAGTTGGCACTTTCTAACTAGAATGAGAATAGTTAGTCTTTGGGAAGAATTATGGATGAAGGTGCTCTCTATATAAATGAAATAATGTATAAATCACATAATCAAATGTCTGGATAGTGATAGCATCACTCTGTTCCAAAGCAGGAAATCTGGCAAATACTAGAATGGATGCAGTTGTTTATATGGATTATTTTCTGCTACTGTATAAAGCATGATAAAATAATCTCCCACTACTAATTCAAAATGCTTATTTCTTCCCGATTATTTGATATGTAATTATGGTCTTTTCCAAATAGCCTTATGTTACCATCTTTAAGGGCTTAATTGTAGTTCTTAAATGTAGACATCATCCTTCAGTGGTTCCACGGTGACTGAGAGCAAAACTAGTTCCAAAAGAAGATCAAGCTATCTAATCAAGTCCATAATTATGAAACAAACTGAGGCCCAGAATCAACCTTGGCACATAGAACTAGAAAGAACCTTTGATTTATACTGCCACAAAAAATAGCAAAGCATAGTTTAAAAATTATTCTGTATTTATCTGATGATAAACAAACTGATAAACCTGTAAACTGTGGTTGAAACTATCATACTGCCCAACAGCAAAGGATACATTCGTATTGCACCTGTTCTTGTTCCAATAGCCAGAATCTTTTGAACTGGGTCAAAAGCTAAGACAGTGGGCAGATATGGAAATCCATGACGAACTGTCTGCAATAGAAAATATAAATCTTAGTTGGAAAGAATAGTTGTAACTCCTAGATATATTTTCTATGCTTTCTTTAATTCCTAAAGCAAATAAAAAGCTGAGTGGCCACTCAGTGATAAAAAAAAATCAATTAACTAATCATATAGGTTTTAATGCATTGACCAGGTAAATTGTATGCATGCAGATACATATTGCAAACTTCAACACAAGACCAAATTTAAAATTTATTCTGCAGTGTGGAGAATTTTGGATACCAGCAGACAGTTTAGAACAGCCTATGGAGTGCAAAATGCAGCTCAAATCAGGGGAAAAATATACATTATAAGACAAACACTTTAAAAATTTTCCAGCATAAGCAAGCATTCAATGTGGAAGGAGATAATTTCAGAATTTCTGAGCTTCACCATATTATACTTGCTCACCAGTTAGTTAAGAAAAACAAAAATCCAAAAGAAAAGCAAAAGAAAAGACTCTGCTCTCAGTTACTCATGCCCTCATTATTTCCAGAGTAGATTAGTGTAATGCACTCTACATGGGGCTGCCCTTGAAGAGCATCCTAAAATTTCAGCTGGTGCAAAATGCAGTGACATGGGCAGTTATATGTGCACACGTTACACCTCTGCTGTGCAAGCTGTATTAGTTGCCAGTTTGCTTGCAGGTCCGATTGAAGGTGCTGGTTTTGACCTTTAAAGCCCTTCATTGCATGGGGCCAGGATATCTAAGGGACCACCTCCACCTGATTAAATCTGGCAGAAGAGGTTTGCTTTGGGTTCCACCTGCAAAGAGTTTCATTTGGTTTTAACACCAATTTTCTCCACTATCTTGTGGTTAATAATATCGTTGATGTCTTTTAATTGTAGTTGTAGTTTTTTACTTTAATTATTTTTATTGTAAGCCACTTGATCACTTTACTATGATATGGATGGCTATATAAGAAATTGCAGAGAGTTTAAAATATGACAGGTATCCAGAAGATTTTAACAACAAAATTATTACTTCATGACAGATTTATGAATCAGCCAATATCACAACTTGTACAGAGATATAAAGAAAATTAGACTTAGCACATACAGAACTAGAACCTTAGAGCAAATTCCCAGTGACATGTGTTTATTATTTCTACAGAAAGAGAAACCTTCTTGAAGATATGTGATTTCTTGGGCTTCTCTAAGAGCAGGGGTGTCAAACTGCTGGCCTGCAGGCCGGATGCGTTATGCCAAAACCGCACCCACCCCATTGCCGGCAATAGAAAAAAAGTTGCGACATGTCACGACACGTCACGTGACGTTGCGAGTTTGACACCCCTGTCTTAGAGATTCCCAATGTTAATCAAAGGCTACTGTGGATGATAGACACACTCTTCTTTCCCCATCCTTCCTTCTCCACATACTATACTTCTGTTTCTCTTATAACAAAGAAACCACCAGAGTGATAATCTGAGCAGGTACATGGCAAAAAGCCATCTCCATTTACAGAAATGTGGACTGTGAGTCAAGAAGGGCCATGGCTGGGATACGTAGCCTTTCCTACAATGTATTTTTAAACCTTGCAGGTGCAAACCAGAGCAAACCAGTCATCCAGACTTCTGGATTGTATCAACAGAACAGCCTTGTGGCCTCTGATGAAAAAACAAATTTATCATAGAATAATAAGATTCTTGATGGCATTTGCTGAAAACATCTAACAAATCAATCCCTCCTGAAACTGTTTTCTTTAAAAGTCTTCCTCCCCTTCCCACTCCTTGACTCAACTGCCATATTCTCTAAGCTCATATTTTTGAGATTTTTAAAATAATTTTTATATATAAGCATTTCCTTTTTTTGTAGACATTTCATAATAAAGCATGGAATTATTTTATGAAGTTCTTCATGTCATCTTCCTGTATCAGAAAATGTAAAATTCGTTTGCAATAAGTAAATACCTCAATATAGTTTGTTTTTTAAGAAACACAAAATTGTTTCTTATTAAAAGGGACAGGGGAAAAATGGTATAAAAAGCCATAGGAATGAATAAAGTATTTTAAAGTACAAGTATTAAGGAAATCAATTCCACAGGTAGGCTGAAACTACTTTTAGTGACTATAATACTACTAGACTATTGCAAGTCTGACTGGGCATATTTATTCCTCCTCCTTACAGTTCAGTGAATTAGAGAGCTGTTTGCCTGAGCTATATCCAAAAATAATGTTAGAACCCCTTTTTCCAAGACAATGATTCCTATATGTCTTAAGGTCATTTTCATTATGCTTTAGCACCAGATATAAATTTTATCTTCAGCTCAGATGTTAGAGGATAGGAAAGGATAGAGTGTGTCAGAACCCATTTCTATTTCATTTCTATCTATCTCCTCTGATCTAAAAACAAATCTCACTTTTCCCTGGGTTCTGCCATACTCCCAAGGGGGAGGGGGGATATGCTGTGGGGTTATTGCTTTCGCTTCCTCTATTCGCTACAATGTAACCTTTTGCTTTGTTATTGCTTCTGTGTCCGCTGCCTGCTACAATGTAACAATTTGCTTCCTACACTGCATCTCTCTCTGAACTTTCTTCTCCCTAACCTGTCAGCTAGGAAAAGGGGAGGGGAGAAAGAAATACAACCTTCGGAGCCTGGCTTATTTCTCAGGTCTCAAAAGGAGAAGAGCTGCTTGAACATCATGCTATGACCAGAGCCGGACCGATGTTCTCTCCCCTTTCCCATGATGGACTTAACACCTGGGGATTGGCCGGTCTGAACCGTCCGGATGAACTGTGGGGTGGGGTTTGCTTGAGGACACTTTAAAGTATCAATCTGTAAAGGAATCCCTCAAATCCTGTCTACTATGCCTGCTATCAACTACTTTTAATAAAAGTTCCTGTTGGAGGAAACCGTCTCCAAGAGTTCTGTTTTCTTAAGATGTGGGATTGAAGTGGGTCCTTACATTAGACAGGATCTGCAGTAATAGTCAACCTGGAAGGAAGACCCTTACCAGGGGACTTTGCAAAAACTACAATGTCAGATGATGGGGCAGGGAATGAAGACCCCACCATAAAAGGGGAGCCCTCCCTCTGGCAGGGACCCTGCCAGTTGTTGGGATCTGAGACGTCATACTCCTCAGAAGAAGAAATGGTGGAAACGTGCAACCACAAACCTTGGTGGTCGATGGGCGTTGGCAAGAAAGACAAATGGGAAAAAGTATTGTGGAAAGTGACCCTGAGGTGGGGCAGCCACCAACCCGGATGGAAGCAAGAGATGGAGAAATCCCTGCACCTTAGCGAAGAGGAAGGTCACGCGCAGCACTCAAACTGGATCCTAGAGAAAGCTATTGACCAGATGAAAAGAACCCTCGGTTCTCTCGTGGAGGAGCACCCTGAATCTCAGGGCCGCACCAACACCTTGGGCTACAACTGGAGAGGCACTGAGGGGGAATCGGAAATTGTAGCCCCGGAGACGTCCGCAGAGACAGCAGCTACCGTTTGGGCAGCCCCCACTCCCTGCCAACCTGCAGAGGGCGATCAGGATGGGAGACAATACCGTCGGCGGCGAAGGCACCGATCCATCCAAAGATTCCCACGAAATTTAGGGGGGAGTTGCAACGCTTGGGGTTCTTCCTAACCCAAGTCCTTAGCTACATGAAAGAATATGGGCAAGACATCCCCAGCGACAAAGCCCATATCCGTATCGTGCAATCCACTCTGGACGGGGCGGCTGCAGACTGGATGGTGAACCTGCATGATTCCAATGCCCCAGAGCTCAACGACTTCAACCGCTTCATGTCCTCTCTGAGAAGGCGATTCGAGGACCCCCTGGCTGATCAAAAGGCTCACGAGAGAATCAAAACAGTGAGGCAGGGCAGACACCCGGTAGCCGAATATACACAAGAATTCCTGGCCATCGCCAAAAAGCTGAACTGGCCAGAAGACATCCTCCTTAGCCATTTCAAAGATGGCCTAAACTATGACCTGTATGATGCTTGCCTGCCTTGAGGGGACCCACGCCAACTCGATGAATGATACGTCCTGGCAGAGGAAGTAGAGATCGACCTACTGAAGAGGCACCTCCGAGGAAAACCATGGGGCCGCTCGCCTCCTGAGTCAACGCGCGACCCAGCGAAACCACCGGCTATGGCCAAGAAGTCAACAGGTTGTTTCAAATGCGGGAGAGAGGGGCATCGCACTGTAGAATGCTGCTCGAAAGCCCCTCAGTGCAATCCAGACCGATCACTGGCCAGGAAATCAGGGAAGTCCCCAGCCAAGCCAAGAGAACCCGCCATGAGGGCGACAAAGGCTGTGAGTCCCCACCCCCTGCCAAGTGTGGGGAGGGAACTCCGGCCTACATTGCAGGGGCGGTGGACACCTCGGATGACAGCTCGGAGGGCAAACCCCTGGTAAGTGGACCCATCGCACCCATCCTCAAGACAGTGACTATATTAGCCCCCTCCATGCCCGAAGCTGTCAAAGTGAAAGCCTTAATAGACTCTGGCTGCACCCACTGCCTCATTAGCCCAACGCTAGTGGGGAACTTGGGCATCCCGGTGAGGAGGCTGAAACAACCAATCTCATTTGGCCAGTTAGATGGGTCTATAGCAGGGGGGGGGGTGCCAGCTACCCTAGTCACTTTACCAGTCTACCTTTCCCTGGGGAACCACGATGAAGACATGTTTGTAGTGACTCCAGGCATGGAATGCCCAGTGATCCTAGGGCTGAGTGGCTAAAAAAATGGAACCCCTGGGTAAATTGGAGGATGGCAGAACTCAATTTCCCGAAGGAGGATCGTGCAAATTTAAACCCCCAAGGAGCCCTACCAAACCCAAGAGCAGAGAAAGCATCAGTGGGAAAGGAAAAGGGGCTACCCGAAATCCCGGAGGAATATCGAGACCTTGCTGACATTTTCAGTGAATAGCGGGCGGATGAGCTTCCCCCTCACTGACCCACGGATTGTGCCATAGAATTCAAGCCTGGGGCAAAACTCCCGAAGCCCAGACTATACTCTATGAGCCCTAAAGAGAAGGAAGAAATGGAAAGATTCATAAATAAAAACCTAGAAAGGGGGTTTATTGAACCTGCCAAGCCTAAGGTAGCCTCCCCGGTCCTCTTTAGAGAGAAGAAGGACAACACTTTGAGCTTGTGCATGGATTACCGCGCCCTGAATGCAATTAGTGAAAGTAACCTATACCCCCTACCCCTCATGAAGGACATGTTATCACACCTATCGAAAGGAAGAATTTTCACTAAACTAGACCTAAGGGAAGCATATTACTGCATTAGGATTAAGGACGGGGATGAATGGAAAACCGCATTTAATTGCCCAATGGGATGCTACCAATTCAAAGTTTTGCCGTTTGGACTACAAGGGCCCCCCACAGTATTTATGAAATTAATCAATGAGGTACTAAGGGAGCACCTATTTAAGGGGGTCCTGGTTTATCTAGATGACATCCTTATCTTTACCAAATCCAAAGAGGAGCATGTCAACCTAGTCAGAGCGGTTTTAAAGAAACTGCGAGCTGCCCACCTATATGCCAAATTATCGAAATGCGAATTCCACCAGGAAAGAATAGACTACCTGGATTATCGCATATCCCCACAGGGCATCGAAATGGACCCCGAGAAGGTCAGGGCAGCACTAGAATGGGCACCACCTCGCACAAGGAAGCAGTTGCAAAGTTTTACCACCAGTTCATCCCTTCATTTGCCCAAATAGCCCTGCCCCTCAAGACCTTACTAAAAACGAAGGGAGAATCCTCAGTGAAACCCAGCCAGCCACTAAAATGGACAATGGAATGCCAAGCGACGTTCAAGAGGTTAAACAGACTTTTTTCCACTGAACCCATACTGAGGCACCCAGACACGGATAAACCTTTCATAATACAGGCGGACGCAAGCGATGTGGCAGTGGGGGCTGTACTATTACAAGAAAGTAGCCAGAAATCCAGCTAACCATATAACAGCCCACCTAGGGCAACTGAAGGACTGGAGGCATCCCCACTTATGAAACACCTCCCTCATCAAAAATCAAATTAAGCATATTGTATGTATCATGTCTTAGGCCTGTTACCAATTAGTATAAACCCATAATTGCTCCTAACTGTTTAATTAAACTTTTCAGCCATTCCAGACACACAAGCATCAGAAGATGAAAATAATCCAGGCCTGCAGGATTCCAGCACCAGCTCTGAAGCCAGTTCTGGTGAAGGATTTTGGTTAGTGGTGATGTTGATTTAGGTGCTACCCTAAGAGAGTTCCCAATCTATTCCTGCTCCCTATACTAAGATACCACAAACCCAGTCCTTCACAAAAAATATTGGTAAGGAAAATATTTTTTCTAAATTGGCTTGTAAAACATTTTAAAATCAAATATCTAAAATCAGTCGCTTAAATTCAATATTTTCAAAATAGATTTAATAATAATTAAAACAGCAATTAATGCAAGTTTTAAAAACTGAAATAAACCTAATGAAACTGTTCATTATTAACTTCATCTTAAAAGTAGTCCTAAAAGGGGTGCCTTTGTTTAGTGCTGGGGTGGCGGTGGAGGTGTGTGGCAAAAGAGACCTCCATATGGGGTTGAATCAGCAATATCAAATGTGTACTGTACAGGAAAAAGACACACAAAAAATGAATCTGTGATTATAAATGATCAGAATTTGTGTGAGTATTATGTATCCTAAGCTGCCCACCAGCTTTTTGATCTCACTGAAGCATTTAAGGAAGATGAAAGCAGATCCCTATTCTGTCAAGATTGCTTACTCCTTAGCCAAAAGAATTAAATTTTATCATAGTACAGTTAAAAATAAACTGATGGAATTTACAATACTAATATTAAGAATGCTAATTTATTCAAAAGGAGCAAACTTTATTAATCATAATTTAAATGAGGTTTAATGCAAAGTCTTCCAAAATAAATGAAGCAAAAATATATCTTTTTTTCTTTCAAAGATGATATGAGTTCTGGGTATTGAATATGATATTTTTATAACTTAGGTTATAACTTTGCTATCAAAGATAATTATGAAACAGAAAATAATGAAATCCTGATAAGCAAAGCCAAAAATGAGAGAATGACTTTTCCCATACTTAAATTTTTTGAATGTTTAACATTAAAAATAGTTTTGCTTTTCATTTTTGAGTAAAATTCCCGACTCAGATATTAATCCCATCTTTAAATAATTATTGATACTTATTGTAGGTGCTGAGTGTTTATTGTGATTTCATTATACAAAATATAAAGCGGGGGGGGGAGAGTGAGAAAAATGAAATGTAGCCAATATTTAAGTTAATTTAAATTGGTCTGTTAAAACTGATCTATAGCATTCTACTTTTTTGAATCTTGATGCTTACAGAAAGCATTCAGCTCTTACCTTGCATATCTGAAAGTAGTCTGCAGTCAGCCTTTCCTGAATTTCATCCCTGGGTGTCCCTGCAGCCTCTCCGGAGTTCTCAGAGTTCCTTCCAGGCCCACTGCCACTGCTACTACTACTGCAGTTTCCACTAGGAGATGAAGTTAAACCATCCAAAACTTTGTGAAAACTAAATTTCTTCATTTTGTAGAAAAAGTCTTAAGATTAATTTCACTTATGAGAACTCCTTGGGTTTGATAATTTCACATTCAGCAAAGACTGTTTCCTCTCACAAAGAATCTCTCAAATGTTCCAATGATACAGCAGTATGGCATTTTCTACTAACTCAAATGAAATATATATCAACTCCATGTTAATTTTGCTTTAAAAAGAAGGCATGTTAAGAAGGGATATTCTAAAATGACATTAGGGGAAGAAAAAACTGAAGGCTAGGCATTTAGCAGTGATTGGTTATGGCTCCTTCTTAAAGAATTAAAATTTATAAAACTAGTAATATTGATTTAAATAGATCACACCTTTTTGCTGGAAATATATTTTTACTTTTAAGTAATTGAGTCCTAAAAGCCAACATCTATGGTCAATTACTTTATTACAATCTTAAATATGATTCTTCTGAAGAATTGTTTGCTACTGTCCGTTTGCTTGCTTTTTAAAATTCCCGCTTCTACTCTAGATAGCCCATGTTTTGGAACATTTGTAGAATCTTCTTGATCTTTCTTAATATTTAGAGTCTTTAGAATGAGTATTCAACTGTTCTTCAGTATTCAATTAACCTCCATCTTTGTAAATAAATGACATTCTCTTGCAATCTGAGGTATTTTCACAACTGCTTCACAACTACACTCTTCTCTCACAATGCCAGCCTCCCACTCTGATTGCAATGTTGCTATGCTGTTCAGCTCCAGCAGAAAACCACAGTTTATTAATTTTTATGTACCCACTCATATTCTAATTAAATCAAAACAAAACCAAATAAGGATTCTTTTGTTTGCAAGTAAGTTGTGGATACAAGGCTGATTGTCCTCGCTGCAAAGAGGCCTAAAAAAGTAGGGTTCCCAATTAGACTTTGATGAAATCAGCTATGGGGCTGACCCACAACATCCAAACCAATGAAAAGTGGAGGAACATGAATTACGCCTGGACATAAATTGCGTCCCAGCAGGCAGGTCACAGTTAATAGACATAAAAGAGAGTGTTGGATCACAACTTCATGAATTGCGGGTCAGGATCGCCTGCAAATTGAGGGAGGATTGCGCAATCCTCTGGTCGCTTAGCTGTTGGTGGTGCCGCAGTTCCCCGACCAAGCAAGCTCTCCAAGGTCCTGAAACCACAGGCGAAGGCGGCAGAGGCGGCAGCAGCAGCAGCAGCGACTCCTCCTCCGGACTCACCCGTCTCGCGCGCCAAAACTATGGAGGATTGTTTCGCTGTGGGAAAGGTTGGTGAACGATGATGAGCTCACTATTAGGTAATCAGCTAGCAATTTTAAAAAGAAGCGGAGTTGAAAGAAACCAGAACGAAGCAAAAGAATCGAAGAATGTTCCAACTCAGAAGATAGATTGCAATAGAGAAGGTCAGATTAGAGGAAAGCTAAAACATAACTCGAATCCGAATTTCATTCCGTTAAACAGAAGTCTCCGAAGGCCAGTAAGGAATGGCAAAAGGACCAAAATGCTGCAGCTTGAGTCAAGAACCTTCTTGCCGCTTCCTCCCATCACAGCGCTGGAAAAAATGGCTGAAAGAGGAAACGCCGGCGATTATCGGAGAGGGGAGTGAGTGGGAACAGCTAGAGCGCGTGCGCGCGCAACCGTATAGCCTCATCGGGTGGTACCTGCTGCCATGTCATTGTCCTTTTTGATTGACTGGAGGTGAGCTAAAGGGGGCGCTGCTGTCTTCCACCCTGCTGCCTTCTCTGACTCCACTCTAAAAGCGGGGCTGAGAAAAATATTGAACCACTTAAAGATCCGACGCTCTAACACTCAGACTGCAGTTTGGAGTCGTGAAGTATTTCAGCGATAGTAACATTCATCGAACTCTGAAATTTATCGTAAGCATCAATTGGTAAGTTCCATAGAGAAAGGGACCAAAACCCTGTGAGGTTTGCTTCTGAAACCTCTGAAATTGCGGGAGGAAAGCCAAGAGGGACTAAACTCAGCTGCCAAGAGACTTTGCCTTTTAAAATAGCATTGATTTTTAAGTATTGTTAAATTAACACCATAAACAGATTATAACAAAACTTAAAAAGTTAACTTGTTTCCTGGTAGAAGAAATGTTGAATTCCACACAACTGAAAAACTTGGATAAAACTTATGTGCATACTTATTGAATGTTTTAAGCTAGACATTTCATAGCTACTACATGTATTCTCTAATAGGGCTTGTTCTTCTGTATTTTTGATATGTTTAATATTTTTTACAAAAATAATGCTAAAATTCTAAATATCTTTAGAAATAGGGAAAATGTGTATTATTTCTATTTATCTAAAGGAAGTAATATGCCATGAATTGGGAAATAAATGGAAGAGCTGTACTTTTATTTATAATCACAATTTAGTCTATATTCTCAATTATTTTGGATCATTTTCTATGTATACAATGTTTCTTACAGTAAACATATATTTCAACTCTGTTACAGACTATGTTGTGCATTAAAGACTTTCCTCTGTGGTTAAGAACCATGAATACTTCTCCTGAAATGTTATTGTTCTTGATCATTATTATTGTGGGGAACCATTGTCAGTCATTCCTAGACACCCCTTCATCCTGCAGCCCCACTCATGTATTTGAAAGCTAAAAGTCCTGGATATGATCCCTGCTACTGTACATCTTCCATTCAGGCTAGACAAGAGAAGTATAGATCAGCAAAGAAGCTGGTGTGCAGTCTATTCCAATAAGAAGTCTTTTATAAAGATTATGGACAGAAAATCAGGAAGAAAAAAAAATAAGGCAGATATTTGGCGAATAGGAGCCAGTGCTAAGGATGTAAGGAAGCCACTAAAAAATGAAGAAGAAACTGCGGAGGATGAGGATAGAAGGAAATAAATGGAGAGGTTATTTGCCAATTCCCTTGCCTCATCAGGCATAACTCTAGCCAGCAAAGGTGCACATAATATCCACAGGCTGGGATCACAATATTGCATTGTATGATACACTGTAGTTTACATAACTAGGCTCTTATACTGCATTGCCAATATGCAGTTTGTTTGGCTTGGGCTTTATACATATGTAAATTCTCACTCTTGAGAATGAATATAATAAAAAATCAGGCAAAATATTTAGTTACAAATAATTAAGGTAGCAAAAGTAATCATCCTGAAAATAGTTATAATAGCAATTTGGTTATATATTATCATCACAAATGTTTGTTCTTTCTCATCTCTATCACATTTTTCTCAATGAAAGATGTTGTCAGAATCCAATTATATTTCAATTCTATCTACCTACTCTGATAAAACCCAATTCTTACTCTATGCTGGATTCTGTCATACTACGAAAGGGGAGGAGGATAAGCAGGTTTTTTTTTATGACTCTCACTTCCTTCATTAACAACAAAGTGACCGTTTGTGGATTCTCTTTGAGAGGACTAAACATAACAATGCGGCCATCTGCCTTTCAACTTAGTCCCTCCTCTTTGCTGGCAGTGAGGAAAAAGGGGTGGGGGTGGGGGGAAATCCAACACCTAGGATCTGGGAAAGGGGATGAGTGATTGTGCCAACGGAGCAGACAACGGATTGAATTGCCTGGAAGAACTGTGGGGTGGGGGCTGCTTGGGAACATTTTAAAACATTGAAGGGCGGGAGAGGATTCCCCAGATCCTGTCTAACATGCCTACAATCAGCTTCTCTTAATAAAGATCCCTGTTGGAAGAGATATTCCAAGAGTTCTGTCTTCTTAAGATGTAAGATTGAGGTGGGTCCTTACAGATGTTTTTGTGTGAAGATATTAATCGAAAATGATATTGTTTATGAGAAGATATAATACAGCTTGAATGTAAATACTATATGTTTAAAAGTGATTTTTTCCTAGTGTAGTGCTACAACAAATTTGTGGCCGGGGCTCTCAAGTTTTTCCCTTGTCTCCTGCCCCAAACAATAAGTTTATAAATTTGTGTTGTTTTAATTACCTATGAATAACCTAATATTGTAATATATTCTGAAACAAAATGTTCACTTATTTTTGACTGGGAATCTTAGCTAGCCTCAAATTTATCTGACTTACAAGATTAACAGCCAACAATGCAAGCTGCTGTAAGCAATTCCATTTTTTTCCCTTGCAGCTTTCAAACATGCAACATATGTTAGAGTAAATTATATTCAAAGGTAATGGCTGAGTTCACTTGTACAAATTTGTAATATGACTTCTTTGGATTTGCCTTAGCAGAATCTGTACTTTGCTGTACATGGGGCTGCCCTTGAAGACTATCCAGCAACTTCAGCTGGTGCAAAATGCAGCAATGCAAGCAATTATGTTTCTGGTAGAACACATTACATCTGTTTCACAGGCTGTATTATTTCCAGATCCATTTTAAGGTGCTGATGTTGACCTTTAAAGCCCCACATCGCATGGGATTGGGTTATTTGAGTGATTGTCACAGATTTCATTTGCAAAGTGGGCTAGGATACGGGTTCTGTTTTCTAAGAACTACATTTGGTGGGCCCTAGGCAGTGGGCTTTTTCTATTGTCACATCCATGTCATTGTTTCTTCTTCTCCCAATCACTCCCCCCCCATCAATTCCAAGCTTCTGGTCTCTCAAGACTTGGTGATGTCAGTAGGCCTTGGGAATCCTAAGGGCAGCTAAATTAATGAGGTGACTCCATTATTATTAACATCGCTTCATGTTATTTGTTTTGGCTCTGTTCTTATTTTTTTTTTAATAATCAATAATGGTTTTTGATATTGCTTCAGCTTTGTTGTATGTCAACCAGAGTCACTTGCTTTTAGAAATTGAATCAAGCATCAAAGAAGTTCACCGTTTATTCTGATGCTGCATAAAAAAAGTTACTTTGTTTAGTGCAGCCTTTTCCAAATTGGAGCTCACCCTAGAATGGTATTGGCAATTTGGTGAACAGTCCTCAATATATGTGTGAATGTAAGGAAAGAGGAAGAGCTGAGCAGATCTAGTCAGGTTAATGTCTGGGTCCAAAGGGTAAAAGTATGGAAAATAACTCAACTGTCCATTAAAATAATTTTCATTACATCAGCTCAGAATAAACACTTCTACAAGCAAGTAGACTGTTTATCCAATATGGCCGGGAATTATAGAAATTAAATCCTTTAAAAAATGATATAACTCAGAAAAAAGGAAAGAAGCTCCAGGTTGATGAATGGGAGTATTCCAGGATTTTAAGGGCAATCCAATCCACCTTGTCTTCTAGACTGTATTGGGAAAGGGAGTTGGATGAATTCAAGGATCTGATTCTTTTTACTATTTCCTCCAAAGCTGAGTCTTCAATAGCTTAGCTTTGTTTACATTTACTCTTTGAATCTAATGCTGCTTCTCTAAGGCCAACACTCATCTTTGTTTTTCTTCACTGTTAAATATTTTCTAATAATTATTTTAAACAATTTTGACTCCACATTGTCAGGTAACATGCCTCGGATGGCATCAGTTTCTGCAAACTGAGTGTATGTTGCTAGATGTGTAGCCTTTGTGGTTGTTTCATTCCATCCTTTTTGTTAGAAAAAAGGGGAAGATGCATTCCCTTTTTTAATCTTGTTCCTATAGTTGGGAAGATGAGGAAGAAAAAAAGATGGCAGCAAATACCAGTGAAAGAAACCACTGTGATATAGACTTGGGCTCGGATGAGACTCAGTAGCTCCTTCTATGAGTCCATTAATAATATCCAACTTTTTACTACTAAATGGATAGTTTTGTTTTCTAAAAGGCAGACAGTGGCACTTTTGAAAACTAGAAATAGAGTCTCATATGAAACATATTTTTAAATAGGGCCCAAGACATGGCAGAGAAAAGATAAAAAAAGAATGAGAAAAGTCTTAGCCCATAGCATATAGTATAGTCACACTGTCACTATTGTTAGCAGTTGTTGCAATATTCCATTTTTCTATAAAGTTAGGAATTTCTTATGTTCCAAAAAAGATTTTAGATCCATGCTAAGCTTCAAATTCAAAACCCAAAAAGTAGTTCAGGCCATGTGGGATGCACATGAAATATCCTAAAACAAAATGCATCTTCTTCTGAGATCATGTTGCAGAAGAGATCATGATAGGAAGCCACACAATCCTGGCAAAAAAGGCAGGAGCTAAGTGAGCATCCCCATATGATCCAATGTGTCTTTTTTGCAATTGTATCTAAAATGCTACATTTATAGAGAATATAGAATAACAGAGTTGGAAGGGACCTTGGAGGGCAGGAACCCTTGCTCAAGCAGGAGATCCTATACTATTCTGGTCAAATGGTTGTCCTGTCTCTTCTTAAAAACCTTCAGCATCCACCACTTCTGAAGGCAAGCCTTTATGTCTATGAATACTTTTTGTCTACAGCGTGCTCAGTAGTAAATATACTTTACCATTAAAAGAATTAGACTTCAGGTTTGTTACTATCTGTATCACAATGATTTAATTCTGATGCAGTGCTATTTAGTGGTGAGCAACCTTCCCCTTGAATTATGTATTTCTTTCTTCCATTTGAAAGAAGAGGGACCAACCAAGTTGGAAGGCTGCTTTTAACTGTCAATACAATACATCATGGTCAAATTCTCCAGAAGATCTGCATTCACAATGGTATTTGAATGCGAGAAGTACTTTTGATCTACTCATTCGTACATTCTTAATATGAAATACAAATACACAGGACAAAGACATTGTAATGGACAGGCAAGCATTTTTGGGAACAGCTGCATATATTTCAGTAATTCTTCAATTAATATTCATTATTAAAGTAAAATAAAACCAGCTGTTTAAAATGCTTATTTGTAATCTAAAAACAATAGTCCTTAATGGAAGCATCACATTATTTTATTTTTATTTTAAAGTAAAACAAAATTTGACTCTATCAAAGTATCTGAAAGTTAGAAAAGGCAACACACATGGTCATTAGCTTTTCAATTTGCAAGCCTGTTAACTTGTACAATACTGATATATAAAAATGGAATATGCAATAAATGCTGGAGCTTTGAAATACAATTATTTTATCTATAGTCTACCACTATTCCAAAGAAGAAATGCACAATGATTTTTTTTAAAAAAAATGTGTTTTAGAAAGTTAAATATCACAAAATTGAATTTATGAAGGTACCACTGAAATATTAAAATAGACTCTGTCATGCTCTATAGTGGCATCTAAAGTCTGCATAATTTTAAAAAAAATACTAAAGCTGTTTAGATTTCTATTAAAACAATATATTGCTTTCCCCACAATTTATTTGGATGGTAGTTCCTAGTCATGACACATATATTTTACTGGAAAGAGTCCAGGTTTGATCAAAGGCAACATTCTGCTTTCCACATTATTCTTGTTTGTTAAGAGGCAACTTTTTTATTTTTGCCTTGTCCTCATGGATTATGTAATGTGTAAAGACACACAATCCACATTTTGGGACTAGTCTTTCTGGAAACTGTGAGGCTTGATTCAATCAGGCTAACTATCCAAAAATGGGATGTATAACACCACTTCTGCAAAAGATAAGAAAATTAGATTCAAGTTATATTTTAACAAAATCACCTCCTTGGAAATTTTAGCACTGCAGATGAAAGTGTTAAATATTTTTTTAAATCTACTAAGTTAGCAAAGAAGAGTCACTCACTAATATGCATTTTTTTAAAGGCAGATAAATTTGAAAACATTGCAGTATCTGGATTATGTTTTTTTTTGTCCTTTAACAATAACTCCTATCTTCAGAATGCCTTCTGCAGAAAAAAAAATGTACACTGTAGTCACCAACACTCACTGATTTAACATGATTGTATTTATACTCTCTTCAACCACAGCTTCTCTTTCTGCCCACCCTCGCCAAAGATATATGGCAGGCAAGCATTTAGCTTGTCAGCCCATTGGAAATAAGAAGCCCATATAGTCACCATGCTTGCAAGGCAGTAAGTTCTTTCAACTATATGATACAGGAAGTTATTTTCAGAGTAAACTAAAGATAATGCCTTCTATAGTACAATCCTTTTTTTCAAGGAAGAAAAATAAGCCATCAAAAGAGCATTCATATTTTCCAGGCAAAAAAACAAAACCCCACAAGTATAATGCAATGGAAAACTTGTAGACTAAACACAGCGGTGTGTGCACATATGCAAATATGTGAGAGAGAACATAGCTGGATTGGCTGCAGGTTTCTCACACCTTCTTGCATCTGTGGCAGCTCCCTCCCTTTGTTCTGATCTTTGACGCCTCTGTTTGGTTCTAATTCAATCTTTTGCTTTTCAGAATTTCCAATTGAAGATCATCTATCACTGCTACTTAGGCAGAAGAAGTTAATCAAACATATCCTCAAACATACGCTGGCCCATAGCTATATATTGCTCTTTTTCCTCCAGAGTCATCTGTGTCACAAGCTCCGGCCGCTGGTTTACTTGGCTGTAAGAAAATGGATGTCCCGCCACCATAACAATGGGGTCTTCGGTCACTACCTCAAACTCATCCTCTTCATTGTCTTCTGTCAGCCCACAGAGTGTTGTGGGAGCAGGGGCTGCACAAGGAAGGGAATCCTCATCCGATTCACTGGTCTCACTCTCAGAATCACTGGCATTTGTGGCAGATAAAGGAGCAATTCCTCCCATAGCAGCCGTAGAGGCAGAGGAGGTTTTCTTTTCATGGATGAGCAGAGCACGCATTACCTCTTCATTGTTATCTCGGGCTCCCTGTCCCTCTTCACCTTCATGGGACATGTTTATGTCTTGACCACCTGCAAGAAAGTATTTAAATAATTATATTCATTTTGGACATGACAGTATTCAGATGCTGGCCCTGCCACAACAGACAATGTTGCTAGGTACTATGCGATCAAATTTGTTGGATAATAATGTGTGGTTTGTGGTTGGGAGTCAGCATTGTAAAGTAGATTCAGTGTGCACCTAATAAGTCATATTAAGATGCTTTATATCTTGACAAAGTCCAAAAACTAATGCTCCCCTACACCCATCAAAACGTTACCACCCCTTCTTTTTAGATTCTAACTTTAAGTATATATTTTTAATTTATTTAGCATTTACATCTTCTAGATTTTTATAATTCATTTTAGATTTTCACTTTTTAGTTCCCTTATGTTTCTTTTTGGTGACATTATCCCACAATCTTATGCTGAACTATGACCTTAATAAAGATTGGATTGGATTTAAAAAATGCCTAAAATTTAAAACATCAATAAGGGTTAGGGTTAGTTACTACAATGCACTGAGTGCAAATAACATGATAAGAAAAACAGAAGTGGAATAAAAGAAAAAAATATTAATTGTACAATATTTTAAATTTAAGTTCTACCTATTAAGTATTGAGGTGATAATGAGTATATGGAAACATGAGTTTATGTAAATATAAATGTATATAAGCAAAATTATATATTGGTTAATGACAAACAATGCATCTTTTATTTTCTCTAATGCTTCCTGGCATTCTGTAGACCACTGTACTTTGGAGGGTTCTGTTTTTCTCGTTAGGTTTGTTAGGGGTTGAGCTATAATAGAAAAATGAGGGATAAATCTTTGGTAATGCCCCACCAAACCCAGGAAAGAGTGAATCTCTTTGTTTTGGGGACTTCTACCTGTTTCAGGATTTCCACCTTTCCCTGTTCAGGCTTTATCTCCCCCTTACCAACCATGATCCCCAAATATCAGCCTTTCCTATATCCTAGATGGCACTTTTCTGGGTTTATGGTTAAGCCAGTTTTTCCTATACACTCCATTGTTAGGCTTAGGTGTTGAAAGTGTTCTTCTCAGATCTTGCCCTCTCCATGATCCAGATGGCACTTCCTATGTACCATCCCAGCATGGTGCCGCTTGTGCACTCCCTTTCTTCCTTGTGCACTTTCCCAATCTGTGCAGCGTCTCTTGCACCCCGTCCTTCCCTCCCTCTTGCTCCCTCATCCAGTAGCAACCACTTAACTGTCTGCGAGCTTGGGATTTGCTATTTCCTGCTGGTTTCCCCACTGACTTTGGTTGTAGAAAGCCAAGCAGGAAGTTACCTCATCTAATGGCGATGGGATTCAATTAACGATGCGGTCATACTTTATAACCACATTGCTTACTGATGAAAATTCCAGTTCCATTTGCCATCAGAAATTGAGTACTTCTTGTAATGTACATGCTTCTCTATTTATACCCTTTTGGATTTTATAATGTTTTTCCTTTTATGCCTTTCTTACCTTCAGTGACTTCATTAGGATCATAAGCACCTTGCACTGTGCTTTCCCGCAGCCAGACTGGTCTCTCTCTGGGTAGCTTTCCTTCATTTGCTGGCTGATGTGTGTCTTCTTGATCTTCCATGTTAATAATTACATTCTGAGTGTACATGTCCCCATAAGAAGGACCCTTTGTTGTCCAGGCTTCTCTGTGCTGCCCACTTGGTAAACTATTTCCCAATGCACCAACAGCTCGTTCTTTGCTGCATACAATCATAAACAGACATGTTTGGATTAGAGAAATATCTTAAATAAAGTCTAAAGGTATAAATCCAGGCAATAGCTAGAAGTCCAGCTCAGTTAAATATAGTTTTTTTCTGTGAGTGCGTATGATTACACCCAATTTATTAAAATTTCTCAGATATTTATGCTGGCAATATAGTATACTAGGATTATACAGCTATCATCTGTAGACACCTAGAGAAATCATAAACGTCCATATCCAATGACATATATTTGTAGAAACAGAATTTGAGAAGACTGTCAACATTTGACTATCAAGTTCAGACAAATTAATACTCTGGCCCACCTCTGCTTCAGTGCAAGAATCTCCATAGGCTCAGGCTCAAGTAATTCATAAGCTAAATTAACATCTTCAGTCTCACGAAGCAATGCATAAATAGGTTCTATTTGTTCATTAAATCGTGCTACAAGAGTCCTTGCATCCTTTTTAGGCATTGCAGATTCATCTTCTTCCACTTCAGTCTCACAAAATGTGCAGCGAAATATTCCTATACAGAAAATAAATCAGTAAAAATTAGGAAATATAAAATGCTAATTGTTAATTTGATGAGTTGTGCAGAACAAAATTATCATGGAAAAGATACATTTTATTTAGGGAGACAATAAAACACAGAGAAGACAAAAAGTATTTACCTACCATTTAAGGTAATAGTTAATTTAATAATAACTGATGACTCCACCAATTTATGGTTTTAAAAGAAGACAGGACAAATTCATGGAGGATCAGTCAGTGAGTGGCTAATTGACTTGAAAGCTGTTTTATCTTCTGAATTAGAAACAATGTTCCTTAAATAGCAGCTGCCACTGTTCTCCTGGCTAGGCTACTGAGCTTTCTGTTAGCAGTTTGTTGGCCAAAGTGCCACAAAATACTGGACAAAATAGGCAGTTAGTCTGAGTGAGCAGGGCTGTTGTTTTCTCTCTTATGCCAGGCCTCCACGTTCATGAATGTATACACATAGGAGAGAAAAAAATGTATAGAAGTCCAGTGCGAACATGACAGAGAATGAAGTGCAAAGGATATAGTGGTGGAGAGGATATCAGCTCTGGTTATGGTGTGGTCCGGTTATTATCCGTTATCAGGCAGTCCTCAACATGCTCTGACATATGGCCTCGTGGCAAGAAAGCTTTTACAGATAAAAAAATGCAGTTTTGCAGGATCCCAGAGGCATGCTTTTTCTGCCCTCTGGTACATCATTCCTACAAAGATCCATTTGGCGCTACTCTATTTTAAAAACACTAGGGCTAAGGTCCTTTGGGTTCCAACCAAGCATTTTCACTGGAACAAACCAAAATTAATTTTTATATAGTTCCCCATTACATCATTTAGTTTTTATACCTTTTGCATTCTGATTGTTTTCCTGAGTTTTTAATATAAGCTGTTTTGAATCTTTCCAATTTTGCAATTGAATAAGTCTGATAAATAAATAAACTTCTTTCTTATATAACAGTACATTTACATGTTTGGGCAAGATTGCAACTAGACTATCCTATTCTCTCCCAGATGCATTTTCTTTGGTACAGTTCTCAATGTTTACTAAGCCTATGATATGCATTGTGACCATGTCTTGGTTATATGCTTCTGAAATATGTCTCTTTTAATATTTTCCCAATATTTATATTATAAATACACTTCCATTATTTTCATTCCTAAAAACTCTGCAGCCCTTTTAAAAAAAATCACTTGGAACAACATAGTATGTAGGCTTTTTCTATTCCCAAATCAACTCTCCCAGATAAGATGGCAAATTATTATTTCAGCCCTTTGGGGAATTCTTGTATCTTACCTGTATTAGGTTCAAACAACTGATTTGCTTCTAAATCTGTGAAGGTACTGGAACAAATAGGACACCTGAAAGAGGCTCGGTTGGTGGAGTCTCTTTCATCTGTCTCAATTCTCCTTCTCATGTGATCCAACTTATACTTCACCACATTGACCAATAGACGATAATTAATAAAATAGAAATTGTGCCTGGTGGTCTTTCCATCTGCAGCTGTCTCCACTCTCATCCTGCATTTGATAAATTTGTCACCTTTAAGAGTGTTGAGAATTGATCGCAGCTGCTTCCTATCAAACTTCAGAAGCTCTAACATGTCTTCTTCCTTTACACATGGATTCCGAATTAGAATGTCCAGGGCCAAAGCATGTTCAGTACCATAAAAACCACGCACTACATACTTAGCAAGGCGTTTCAGAGAAGCTGGGACCTCAGTGAGAATGTCTGGATCTGTCATAGCTGTTATCTTGTAAAACAAATATTATATTCAAATTCTTGTTTTCTTCCACTTAGCAGTGTCAAATCCAATGTCCACTATAGTTAACTATAAGCATAATAAATAACAAAATTAGAAAACTGAATATATATAACATTACTTCTAATCTTCTTGCCTTCTTCACTGTTCTTATACATGCAGAAAAAAATATTGTATTCCTGTCTTCCAGTCTGTACACTGCAAGTCTGTCAAGACTATCAATTCATATAGCATTTAAGGCACTTAATGTTTCATTAAGAGGACCATTAGGTGAAAAATTGCATTACATGTGGACTATTGCTCTGTCTACCTAATGTGAGCTGCAAACTTCCTGATGGCCTCTAGATAGCTTTTTGTAGCCCACATCCGGTAGCCTGAGCCATTGCACTAAGCATCTTTCTTCAACAAAATTCACTTGGACTTTTGGGCGCAGCCTAGGAGGAAAAACATGGTTTTGAAAGATTGCAAGATTATAAGATGTGGAAATATTTTGCTTCAACCACTTATATACTTCTTTCCAAAGAAAAAGTCAGACCTTTTCCTTTGCTTGTGTTAAGTGGATGAATGACCAACCAGTAAATTTATTCAGTCAATGATCAATAAAACGGAATAATCCGTGTTTCTGCTATGGCAGACGCACTCGACTCCCGATGCTGCCAACAGAAAGAAACTACACAATGGAACCCTTCTCCCTGGCATACTACATTTCAACCTGCGGAAAGCGGGCTATTACGACCGTGTTACATGGAGGAGGATTCAATCCGAAGCCCAATACCTCAGTGAAACGAGACAGGAGGGACGACGCTTCCTTTCACTCACAATCGCCTCCGCGTTCGGAAACGAGCAATTCAAGACTGTCTCACCCAACGAGTCTGAGAGACATGCGAAGCTCCCGAACACGTTGCCACTAACCTCACAAACAAGTTTGCTTCAAGGCGGCTGCAAACGAAAGTCTGGCCGTCGTGAAACGTCAATACTCTGCGACACACAGTGTTCTACTTCCTACCTCATTAAGATTGCCTCCCCCCTCCCCCGCAGCTCTTGGGGCCAATTGAAATGAAAAGAGTGTACGATCGGCCAATAGAAGATACGCGTGTAGGAATCGATCTGTGATTGGTCTCTTTTAGGAAGAATGAAAGTGGAGATTTGGCCAACGTCGGTAGCTGCTTCTGGCAATTGCCCCTGAAGAAAAAAAAATGGCTGCCTTAGAAAGGGTGAAGGTGCTTGTGTTGGGTGATTCAGGTGAGTGGGTGAGGGCGTGAGGAGCGACCGCAGCCGTCCTCCACGAAGAAGAGCCAGACTCTGCCGCTTTAGTGGAGAGGGGCAGATTGGCTGTTATTTGGAATTCCTTTCCTGCTTAAAATGTGATTTCTAGAAAACAAAATAAGAAACAGGGTAACAGACAATACAGCTATTTTTTTCCTGATTTTTAGAAAGTGTTGTTATTTAACGCACCAATATTCTACTTCCAGTCTCAACCGGTTTGGTCCAATCAAGAGTTTTAGATCTACGCTCTGCTGTGTATGTAAATGAGGCCACAGCGCTCGATGGTACAAGAGTTTCAAAAAAATTTCTACAAACGCACTTAGTTAACCTGTTTGTTTCTCTTAATAACATACTACAGAGGCGCAGTTGCAGAAACATTAGCCCTTCATACAAACATATTTGCGTATAGTGTGTTTGCAATAACTGTTGGTATTCTTGCGCGTCATTCTGCAGTAGGTTAATGGACTAAGATAAGACCCCACCTCCTTCCCGTGTGCATTGTGCTCCCTATCTTTGTCAATTTTAAATAAAATGTAATGTGACCATTGTTTTAAAGTTCAGATATTTTTATTGGTGTTTTAATGACTGGTTAGCCTCTTAGAATCATCTTTAGGCAAGATGAGGGAGATATAATTTAATTAAAAGTATTCTTGTACTCTGCCCCCCCACCCCATTTTTGGGATGGGGAGAACTATTAAGATATTTCAGAATATATCTGCTGGGGACCATAGAATCTCAGAATTGGAAAGAGCCATTTCTACTACTGAATCCATTCTCTTGCTCAGTACAAGAATCCAGATGAAAGCATTTTCAATGGATGGCTATTTAGCCTTCAATTGAACTCATTCAGCAAAATAAAATTTATGATATCTTACTGTAATTTGTTTCATATGTCATTCTACGCCTGTGTATTTGATACTTGAATGCGGTACAGAATTTTGCATTTGTCTCTATTAAATTTCATTTAGTCTTTTTCATCCCTATTAAAGCTACCAAGAATATAGAATCCCAGAGTTGGAAGGGATAACAGAAATAATCAATCAAGCCTCTTACTCACTTCAGGAACTGCTAGAGTACTATGATATATTTAATAACATATTAAATTTATATGGCTCCCGCCTCCAAGCAACTCTCTGGTTTTAAATATTAAGTCAAATCAATCTGTAAGAAACACAACAACAAAAGAGAATAGAGTACAATCAGAGACTATTTTTTTTACTTAGCAGTTTATTTAATTTATTTAGTTCTGACAGCCTAGATTGCTAGTTCATTCTGTTTGACGCTTGCAAGGGGTGGACTGTTTGGTGGACTGCAGGGGATGAACTAGCTTTACACCAATTAACCAATGGCAGTCAGGTTACTGGTCTTCCAGACTCCTCTGCTGCTCTTGCCTCGCCTCACCTTGTGTCATGATGCCTCACGTCTGGCCAGGTCCAGTGCTGGCTTCTGCTCTCCGCATACATGAACACAGCTAGGTTTTTCCCATTGGAGTGGTACCCATTTAGCTACTCACAATATTGCATGCTTTTGAACTGCTGAATGGGCAGGAGCTAGGGATCGAGTGTTGGGAGTTCACTCGGTCTTATGGAGCCGGGCTTGAACTGCCAAAGTACAAATTTCTGGGCAGCAATTCCAGCATCATAAGCCACTGTGCCACTGCGTCCTCTTACTAGCATAATCTACCAGAGATCTTGGGTTTTGTGATATTTGTCCAGGGTTTAACAACCAACTTTATTTAGATTTATTCAAGATAAGACAAGTTACCTACAGGCTGCTATCAGTTATGACATACTCCTCTAATGCTATTAATAAATATGTCAGACATGGAAGATCAGATTCCAATCATTTGAAGATATAAGACAATCTAGTCTATCATTTTCTGGAAAATCCAACTTGTACAATGCTGAATCTAATTTTTGGACTTGTTACATAGAACATAGAATAGCAGAGTTGGAAGGGACCTTGGAGGTCTTTTAGTCCAGGGACCGGTTCCGTGGAGAAAGATTTTTCTGCGGACCGGAGAGTGTGTGGTTTTGTGTGTTGCCTGCATCCCACAAATGGGGCTTTGGTTGTTTATGTGGACCGGTTGCTGGCATGCCACAGACCGGTACTAGTCCACGGACTGGGGGTTGAGGACCCCTGTTCTAGTCCAACCTCCTGCTCAAGCAGGAGACCCTATAAGAACTATCTAGGATGGTTTGTTCCTATTTAATTTCAGTTATATAGCAAAACTAAAATGACAGCAGAAATGTTAGTTACTTTTGAAAGTTTATTTTATTACTTTGTTACAGGTGTGGGAAAATCATCACTTGTTCACCTATTATGTCACAATCAGATGCTGGGAAATCCATCCTGGACTGTGGGCTGCTCTGTTGATGTCCGTGTATGTGGAAGTATAAACATAATACTGATAATTTGTGATATTGTCTTTGAAATAGTATATTTTACATACAGAAAATTATTGAAATTTAACTGCAGAGGTAAACTGGAATGTAAGAGTGTTTTGTAGTTGATGAGTGCTACCCATTATTGATAACTCTAACAGGGCCAGAGGTGAGAAGGAAAGAAGTACAGAAATATAGAAACAGAAAACGGACCACAGAAAAAGATGTAATGGTCCATAGAGTCTACCCCTTGAAGGTTTTTTTCTTTTTAAATTTATTTATTAATTTTAATTTCTAATTTTTGTTGGATGACGGACATATGTTTATCCCAGGCAAGTTTAAGCTTAAAATATGGTGGCCTAAAGGAGGCATTTAAATATTCATAGACTTGCATATGTTTTCTATAACTGATATTCTGTTTTCTTCTGTATTTTTGCAAAAGTATGCAATGAAAATTAGTAAAATAGATGTACATGTACTATATATAAAGTGAGTGGGATAGGAATTGAATGAAAGTAAAAAATATTGGCCAAAGAGTAGGAAAAGGTATCTTTCCAGGATTTAGCAAATATATTCTGATTCTGTGATCCTCATTATAATTCTTATAGAGAGTACAGTGGTCAGGTAATTCTTTGAAATATGATGTTTTATACCAATTGGCTACCAAGACATATATAACCATATTTATTTCAAAAAATGCTTCTGAATGCAGAATTTTTCTTAGGGGCAAATAATGAATAACTACTAACCAGGCTTCCTTTTGAAGCATTCTCTGACCAGAAAACAGAAAACTTGCAAAGCGAATTGTTGAGTAGAGTTCTGGAGGCAGAAGGAGCAGGAAAGAATAAACATGAAATTGTTCTGTAGTGCAGATTTTTTATAGTGTATTCTTTGTTTGCTTATTATACTTTGACACGGTATTTTTAATTTATCTGTAGTATAAACATGCATGCAAAAATGAATTAGATCTGTGTGAACTATTTGGGGTGTATTTGAGCAGACTGTGGCTCTTAACAGATGTCATAATGGTTGCATCCGCCTGAAGAATTAGTGCAACTGCTTTGAGGATTCCTGCAGATCTTTATCTGTGTATTCATGCAATTAAATTTTTTCACCAAAATTGGTAATAAAGGGACTGCCACAGTTAAATGATTCCTCCAAATGATTTGTGTAGCCTATATATGTCTATGTGTATGTTTTGTGTGTACATATACTCATATATTGATAGATGTGTCAGATATTTTGTATACATTCTCTCTCCCAAAAAAAGCTAAATTCAGATAATTGATTCTCCATAAAAATCATGTTTGGATTTTTTCATAAGAACAAGTAGCAATAGCACTTAGATGTATATATCACCTCACAGTGCTTTATACCCCGCTTTAAGCGGTTTACAGAGCCAGTGTATTGCCCCCAACAATCTGAGTCCTCATTTTGCCAATCTCGGAAGGATGGAAGGCTGAGTCAACCTTGAACCGGTGACACTCGAACTGCTGGCAGCCGGCAGTCAGCAGAAGTAGCCTGCAGTACTGCATTCTAACCACTGCGCCACCATATAATACAGCAAGTATCTTCAGGAAAATACTTGTTTTCTGTTTTTTTCCATTAAGGAATATTTCACCTTGTTACTTTCATTACCATTTGAAAAAAAAACCCTGCTGTATAGCATGCATGGGCCAAAGAAGCTGCATTCTTAGAAACTGATTCTGAACCTAACTAATTCTCTCCTTAACCCACCTTTACTATGTTCTACAGAGTTACTTCATTATATAGTGGAATGCTGGTTTTAATTTACTGTTGTTTTAAATTTATTTATGCTATGTGGTTTCTTGTTACCAGATTCATGACTACAAAGAAGGAACTCCAGAAGAAAAGATCTATTTCATCGAATTATGGGATGTTGGTGGTTCTGTAGGCAGTGCTAGTAGTGTGAAAAGCACACGTCTTATGTTCTACAATTCAGTAAATGGTAATGGATGCACTTTTAAGATCTGTTACATTGGTTTGATTTATATAGACTATGTTCCCTAAATATTGCAAACAAGAATTTTATATTAAAGAACAGTTATTGGCTGAATTTCAGTTTCAAACACTTTACTTTCTTGGATACAACATATATTCGCATGTGTTGACAAATTTGTTTAACTTTTTTCCTGAACAGGTTTCTCGGTGTATTTATTATTCATAATGTTTATTTGAAAACCAGTACATTCTAGTTTGCAACCTACATGCCATCCATCTCGCCTGGAGGCAATTTATGGACGTATATATTCTGTATCTGTATCATTGCCAAATATATGTACTTTAGGGGTTTCTGAGCCATTCTTTATTTATATTCATGAGATTATTAAATAATTAATAGCCAATACTAGTTTCAAAGTAGAATACCAACTATTCCTATTAGATACCTAATTTAATCTTTAGCTATGTATACTTGGAGCTAAAGATATTCTATTCTAAATTTGTATTAGGACTAGCATGTGAATTGTTACCAAACACCATCCATTAATTATCACTATTATCACCAATTATCACTATTATCTTTTTAGTTTGCTTTTCTGCACAAGTGATGCCTAATGTATACTAATCATGGGTTGATTTTTTGGCTCAGTATCCTTCCTTTCTTTCTGCCAGCCTTGAATTACATTGGCCAGCATGCCTTACAGAATAGTAGAGTGTAGCATAGTGCAATTAGTTCTTGTATCTGATCAATCTGATTAGGTTGGGACTTTGATTGCATTGGTGCACAATTTACATTTGAATGACTATAGTTCAGAAACTACTGGAACAAATAAAAATTAAATGTGGTTTAATTTAAATTCAGTTTCAGTTAAATGTAGTTGGTTTGTTTATTTTCCATGAAATTAGGAATGTCCCATTTTTATCATATTAAATTATAATTTGGAAAAAATATTTAAGGGCTCCATAAGCTACTTTCAAAGCTTTCAGAGACTATAAATGATACATTTCTGCTTCACTAGTCAGATTATCTAATAAAACACATTTGAAAATATAAAATAGCTTATAATAATATCTATATAAAAAATGGAGAAGATATTCCTTGCTTACCAACTGCTTATTCAGCAACTTCAAAATTATGACAGTGCTGAAAAAGATTTATGACCAGTCTTCAAACTTGTGGCTATCACAATATTATTGTGGTCATATGATCATGATTCAGGTGTATGGCAACTGACACACATTTATGACAGTGTTCCACAATCGTGATCATTTGCAACCTTCACAGGCAGCTTCCAACAAGCAGAGTGAGTGGGATGCTGGCTGGAAGTCACAAATTGCAGTCATGTGATTTTGCACTGAACAATAGTGATTCACTTAATGTCAGCTGGAATCGATATGTCAGGTGTAATCATGTGATGTTTGCCTTTACAACCACATTGCTTCTCATCAGTTGCCATTCCCAATTGCAGTCAGTAATTGAGCATTGTCTGTACCTTATTATTGCCTGAAGATTTCCCTGTTTCTGATATTTCCTCTAACTTGGTAAGGTTGTTCAATCACTGTTAATTTATTTTGATCTAAAGATGTTAGAGATTCCCCCTTGTTCATTCCCATGGTAACATCCTTGATTTAATTTGGGCTAAGGATTTGCAGCTTGCATTTTATGTTTTATTTAATGGAGCCTAATCTAACAACTTTATTGTAAAAGAGAAGGCATGTTTTCAAATTTGTTATTGGTTTGATCCATTATATGTCTGCATTGGTTCTTAGTTCCAACCTTTGAAAAGAGCTTTTATCCGTGGCTAGATTTACAGAAAATTCCAAGTTACGTACATAAACTCAAATAGAAGTATAGAGTAGGGCCATCTGCTCTTACTGATTTTTTATATTTTTGGAACAAGCCAAGCAAAATTACCAGAATCTAATTGCAGTTCAAGCCAAGTCCACATGACACTTTTTTGCTATGTTGAGGTCTTTTTATTGTCATCTCTGCCGGTGGGTTGCTATTTACATTTGAGAACTTTTTTGTCTAAAATCAAGATGCTCCAGTTATCCATCTGTATGCAGGGCTTATGTGGTACTTCTGATGCTGCAAATTGTTTCTCCTCTGGCTTTTCATTTTTTCTAGTTACTGAAGCAACGCTAACTAAAATAGTAGTATTACTTGCTTGTATTACTCCCGGTATTACTTGCCCTTTTCCTTCCTTTTGTCATTTTTGACGAAATGACTTTTCCCCGTCATTTTTAAGTATGCCGATCAATTCCTCTTATGGTAGGATTTTTTCAGGCACCCAAAATTATACCTATCTTTTCTCTCTCTCTCTTTCTAAAGGTTTCTTGATTGGTTTTCATTCATTCTTTTTCATCTGAGATTATTGAGGTAGTTACTCTCTTCCAGCTTCTTAATTGTTTATCAGTTAAATAAATTCACTGACCCATTTTAGTCTGGGTTTCACATGGGTTATTCTACCAAATCAGCATTAGCTTGGGCCTCTGGCAATGGGAAAATCAGTATTGGTTCTGCTAGACTTATCAATGGCATTTGCCCTCCCCCCTCCCCAGCAAGAAATTCTGTTTCCTATTATCTGCAATGTTCCTTCAAATTGTTTTTTACTTTGTAAATTAGCCTCTGGGTTCTCTGATATCTTCTTTTCAACTGAAATTCATCCAGATATATTTGTCTGGTCCTGTCTTCAGTGATGCAATGTGTTCTTTTTACCTGGAATTTCCAACTAGATGTATTCTTGCCACTTAAATTAAATTTAGAAAAGATTGTTTTTGATTTTTTTTCTCTCCTTTGTCTTTCTTTGTTCCTCTTATTTCTGTATCTTTTATTTCTTTGAAAATAAATTGCTGACCTCTATTGTAAGTTAGATCCCACATTTAGTAAAATTCCAGCAGTGGTAAAATTCTTTGGTCCAGCCATGTTATTGTAAATTTTTACTTTACTTTGAATTGTGATTTTTGCTTGTATGTTGTACTGTTGTCTGTGTAGATTTTTACATCAATTTACATAGCTTACTTTTTTGAATGCTTTAACTATAATGCATCACTGAAAATTTCTGTTATTGAGGATTATAAAAGTAGAAGTAAGAAAAGCCTTCCCTCACGCTTAAACTAAAATAAACAAAACAAAAGATGAGGAAGGAAAAATAATTGTTGCTATTGTTTCTTTGATTATTTTTAACAAAGTTTTTTAAACTATTATTCATTTTTATAATATTCTAGAATAAATCCTACATAATTTTTATTATTCAGTTTTACGTAACTTTTACTATTGCTGAAATAGTTCCATCCTCATCTGAAAAAGGACTGAATCCATGCACAGCATCTAGTAATTCTAAAGCCAATAGCATTTGTTAGAAGTGATTGGGAATTAGAAATGGGAATTTTTCCAGGATGTTAGAACATTTCATTTTTTTTGTGGGAACATAAGATCAAGGTATAAACCAAAACAAAAAAATAATCAGGGAACGGGATCATAAATCAGTACTGTGCAAGAATAACACTTGGGGGCAAGGTCTTATTAAAATAGGGAACATGCTTATAGTCCCTTCAGTTCAAGAAAGTTAGGGAAGAGCAATCAAGGAACTGAAAGTATTTACATTGCAGTATTCAATTCTATGGTTCATTATAAAGTGCTATCATATCTAGACCAAAATCCTTCCAGCTGAAGCCTCAGTACTGTTTCCTTACATAATCCATCAAATTCCCTTGTCCTAGCTGATTGGTTCATGATGCCTGATTGCTTCATAATGCATCATAATTGATTTTATTACCTTGTTTGTTAGGCAAAACTGGTTTTTCTAATCATCTTCTGCAATACTTTACTTCTAAATGTGGTTTGCTTTCATTCTGATTCTGTCCTTAATGAGAGACTGAATAATACTCTTGTTTTTGTGCTCCTTGGAGGCCTGGCTTTGTTTTTATAATTGCTATATCTTTCAATGTGCTTTTGGTAATTTTAGGAAAAAATAAAAATCTTTTCCTTATCTAGGAATAATTTTAGTGCATGATTTAACCAACAAAAAGTCCTCCCAAAACTTGTATCGATGGTCTTTGGAAGCTCTTAACAAAGATGTGACTCCATCTAGTGTCCTGGTGACAAATGGGTAAGTAGGCAGAATATACAGCTGTCCACTATCATTATGATAACCATGTGAATTAGATGGAGGGATGACATGTTGTAAGATTTTGAAAATGGGGGAAAATGGGTAGGCTATTTTCTGTCAGTAAAAAGAAGGTCCACCTGCTCTAGCAATATTCTCTTTAGAAATCTGTTCTTAAAGGATATGTAAAAGTCATAGTATATGTTTCATACATAACAAGTAGCAGTGACCCACAGTTTTAATAGCAAAAATACATCTAAATATACTCAACTTTATGAAGTAGAATAGGAAAAAATGCATTGTTTATGGATATTCTCAATCATCCAGATCATGGTTGTCCCAAAGGTGCTTTTCAATTCTCTACCGTTTAGTCAGATCTGAAGAAGCTTCTTGGATGAGAAGTAAAATATCTTCAAGGAAAAAATAAAGTCCAGTTGCCTTTTGAAAAACACCTTTGAGAAAAATACATCAATTTCGGCTAATGTTCACAGCTAGTCAGAATTTATCTCCTAAACCAGACATGTCAAACACAAGGCCGGGGGCCGGATGCAGCCCGCGAAGTGGTTTCATGTGGCCCGCAAAGCCATCCTGGAAACAGTGAGGGAACTACCTTGGCCCAGGCCAGCCGGGAGCCAATGTACAATTTTGTGGTGGCCATCTATGCTGAAACACATTTAGTCTTAGCTCCACAAGGCCATCTAGAAACAGCGAGGAACCAGCCCCTGCCGTGTCGGCCCCGCGCCCTGGGTGCTTGCTGGGGAGGTGTCACCCTTTGTGAGGAATGAAGAAATGGACCATGCCTTGGCGCTTGCCCCAGTCCCACCCCCTTCTGCCAGAGACCCTCAGATCTGTCCCACTCCTGCCCAGGCCTCCACAGGCACCCTTGACGCGAACGATGTAGAGCTGGCCATGCCCACCCAGTAGGCCGCACCCACCCTGGCCACACCCACCTGGCTCCCCGAGGGGAACCGCAATGATGATGCGGCCCTCAATGAAATTGAGTTTGACACCTCTGTCCTAAACAAACTGAGGACCTATTTCATTAAAAATGATACAAAGCTTTGCACTGAATACATTTTAATAATGAAAAATATATAATCAAAAAGTAATAGAAACAGGCTCTTTTTTTCAGACTTTGGGGGATTTGGAGATATGAGAATATGATATTGCTAAAGTGCTTTTTTTTTACCAGAAAAAAAGTAGCCCATCAATCCCATTTGCAGATTATAGAATGTTGAAAGCTAGAGATGAAATCATGAGGGGATGGAGCCCGCAGCAGAAACGGGGGGCCTCCTGAGGGTCGACAACCCAGGTTCGGGGCGCTGAGGATGTGGAGGGTGTTGGCGACCTCGCTGGCGGCCGGTGCCGAGGGTACCGAGGGCGCTGGGCTTGCTGGCAGCCGGGCGAAGGAAGAACGGGCGGAGGATGCGGCCCGGCTGCCCGGCTGCGGCCTGGCGGCCCGGCGGAGGCGAGGGATAGGCTGGATGGAAGAGCTACGACCAGCGGAGGATCGACGGCCTGGAAGCCGGGAAGATCGGGCAGCCTGGAGCCCGGCGGCCCTAGAAGATCGGGCGGCCCTGGAGGAGCGACGGCCGGGCCGGGCGGCCCTGGAGGATCGGCGACCGAGCGGCCTAGAGGATCGGCGGCCGGGTGGCCTAGAAGACCGGCGGCCCTGGAGGATCGGCGACCGAGCGGCCTAGAGGATCGGCGGCCGGGCGGCCTTGGCGGGTCCGGCGGTCGGCGTATCGCGGCCCGACGGCCTGGGTGCGGCCTTGTGGCCTAGAGGCCCGGCGGGGGATCCTCCGCGAAGAGTCGGCCGGTTGGAGGACTTGGAGGCAGCCTGGCGGCCCCACGGCCCAGCGGAGGTCCCTTTCTGAAGGATCGGCCGGGTGGAAGACCTGGTGGGGACGAAGGATCTGGCTAGGTCGATGGCCGGCTGCATGGAAGATCCGGATGCGGCCTGGCGGCCTGGCGGAAGAACGGGTAGGCCTCTTCGGCTGGATGGTGGGGGGGGCGAGATGGAGGTTTGGTGGAGGAGGAGAAGGGCTGTTTAATTCTGCCCCCTCGCCCCCCCCACCGCCCACCCCCACCCCCCCCATCCTACCATCATTTCCACCATCCTACCTCATTGCCAGGAGGACAATGGCTGACAAGGACATCCGTTGGTGCCACTCCCTGCCCTACTTTCCATCTATCTCAGCCCCCCGGAACGGAACTAGCGTACAGGAGGACTTTTTTCCCCCCTTCTGGCTTTTCTGCTGCTGGACTCTGTGACTGAGTGGAATGTACCTCAGGTCAGAACTGCTGGCCCTGCGCGATTCCCCCCTCGCGCAGGTGTGGCCCAACTCAATTTCAAGGGCCTGCCTCGATGACGGGGTGTGGAGCCCCGAGAGGTGGTATGCGGCCAAAAGAGACCAAAGGAAGTGGAAACTGAGGGC